AAAGAGGAAGACCTCCAACGAGATGGATCGGCCAGGTGGCATCATTGATGGACTCGGGGGTGGCAGCGGTGGTGAGGTTGGCCCAGGATCGAACACTGTTTCGTTCTGCTGTGCATGGAGTCGCTATGAGTCGGTTCCGACTCGATGGCACCTGACAACAACAACATACAAATACCCTGACAGAAACACACACAACACATATGCGTACTCACACAAGTGCACACAATCATACAGATGACTCACACACAGGTACTGTCACACACATCTTTATAAATGTGCCCCTAATCCTGACACATTCAGTCACTAGCGCTTCCATACACAGATCCTCTGGACCTTATCCACAATCTTCACTTCTCACAGTCTGAGCTCCAGTTCTCGCATGCGCACAGCAGTCATCGCCTTCACACCCCTCCCCTCCCAGTGCCCGCCCAGCTCCTGAACTCACGGTCTACACTCTCCACTCGTGCGTAGTTCCCTTCTTCGCAGAAGCTGATGTTTCCTAGGTGCAGGATACCGGCCACTAGCTGCAGGACCAGCTGCTGGGCGTTGGGTGGGATCCCGATGACCTGCATGGCGTTCTGCAGGCAAACAGTGGAGCCTGAGCTTGGAGTCCAGACCTCCCCGTCCCCAGGTCATGCTTCTGGGTTCCTGTCCTGCATCTTTCACCCATGTGCTGTGTGACCTTAGGCCAGCCCCTTCCCCTCTCTGGGCCTCTGTTTCCTGATTTGCAACATGAGAGGACTCCTTGGGTATCGGAGTAGAAGCTGGTCCTCACCAGTGTCTCACTGAAGTCACTTCTGTCATCGGTGCCGTCCACCTTGTAGGTATCCGATTGGTTGAGGTAGTAATAGTAGTCGGGGGTCATGAGCCCCAGGTTCTGTCGTTGCTCCTGGGAGGCCCCTTCCAGCAACTGGAGAATTGTGATGATTATACTTTTCCCAAACACCAGTCCTCCCATTGTTGGCTCCCCTCTTTCTCCCAGGCTCCCTCTGCTCTGACCCCTTGGCCAAGCCCTTCCCTGCACCTGGTAGTAGATGTGGAAATTCCTTTCATTCTCATTCTGTGAGACCACACGGGACTTCTCCAGCAGGAAGTTGGAGATCTTGCCTCCGTCGGGCTCACCCCCACGGCTGAACTGAATCTCAAAGTATTTGCCCTGAATCCGAGAACGCCATGTTACTCCATGAAGGTCCCCAGAGGTGCAAACGGGACTGTAAAATGACCTTAACTCATTTCTAAGTGCCAGTCACCACTTCATTGTGGGCAGTAGTGAAATTCTTTCTTTCCAGTGGGAGACCGGGGTTCAATTCTGGATATAAACAACTCATGCAGCTACCACTCATCTGTCAGTGGAAGCTTTTGTGTTGCTAGGATACTGAAGAGATTTCAGTCAAGCTGCCAGGCTAAAACAGACTAGGAAAAAAAAAAAAAGGCCTTCCCATCTAAATTGGACCTGAAATGTTTGAGTAGGCATGGGAGTGTTTTAAGAGTGTTACACAGAAGTGTCATGGCTGCCAACAGGGGACCCGGTTATCAGATGGACCATAGGCAGGAAGTGAGTCTCCCAGTCAGGAGCAGGTGTTTTCTGCTGGATTTACAATGGGACTATAGGGGCAATTGTGTTTGTGTTGAGGGTGGGAGTGAGCGTCAGCATCAAGGGAGTATCTGCTCCAGGAGACTCACAAAACGACTGGAATTGTTGTTGCGCACGGTCTTGGCGTTGCCGAAGGCCTCGAGCAGCGGATTGGACTGCAGGATGATATCCTTGACGTGCTGGAGGTAGGAACAGGTGGGGGTGGGAAGAGATCAGGTTGGGGAAGGTGACTGGGAAGTGAACTATCATGGAGAGGGGAGACCCATCCGGCCCTATGTCCTTCCCATCTCACCTGGACCTTCTCGCCTCCACCGGACACTTTAGAGATGTAGCCCATGATGTATTTGGCTGCCACTGTCTTCCCAGCTCCACTCTCTCCGCTGGTGTGTGGGAGAAGGAGTGATCAGAGGAGAGAGGGATGGGTCACATTTTTGTCCTGTTCTCATTCATTCATTCATCACCTACTGAGTGCCTGACACTGTACCAGGCACTGGGAATATAGGCATGCAAACGTGACAGATAAATAGCCCTGCCCTCAGGAAGCTGACATTTAGGACAGATAGACAATAAAAACCAGTTGCCAGCAAGTCAATTCCAACTCACAGCAACCCTATGGATGCAGAGTAGATTTGGCTCCATAGGGGTTTTAGTAGCTGATTTTTTGGGAAGTAGATTAAAAAAAAAAAAAAAGAAAGGCCTTTCTTCTGAGGTGCCTCTGGATAGATTTGAACTGCTGACTTTTTCAGTTAGCAGCCTAGTACTTAGCTGTTTGCACCAACTAGGGGCTTCCCCCAGAAGGAAAGAGTAAGTAAGCTATGTTGTGAATCACTTGGGGTGCTGAAATGAGCTCTGTAGCTTTTTGCTTCTCTGGAAAAGTAGTTTAAGAGACTTTTTTCCTTTAAGCCCTAAAGAATTAGGTTTGCCGTAGTTTTCTACCCCAAAGGATCTGTTACTTTTCCTCAGATTGATTAACTTGGTTTTAATACTTTTTGTTTGATCCTTTGCTGAAGCCTGCCTTGCAATTAGTTTACACCTTGCTGGAGATTAGTCAGTAGACTATGTATGTAAATGAGGTGAACTGTAGCCCAGGCTGATTGGTTAGTTTGTTGCCTGGTGGGCGTGTCATGGTGTGAAATTGAAGAGGAGTATGTGTTTCTGAGCAGCTGGCCCACAGAAGTTTGACAGCAAAAAGTGGGAAGATGAAGAGAATCAGAGAGTGTAGGAGAGACTTTTGTTATTGAAAGATTCTCTGGGCAAATTATTGAATGATGCAGAATGCATCAAGAAAAGATGGAAGGAA